CCTAATCCCGCCCACACGGCTAGCGTGGATTGTGCCCCTAACTACACGAGCAGTACAGCTCCCTCCCAGCCAAACGAGGTTTTTCGAGAATCGTTCCAAACAGTGATAACTGACATTCTCTATCCCAGAAATGGGCTGGGCGCGGCTGCGCACCTGGACATGGAGAGGTTACGTTTTTTTGTGAAAGCCCTCCGTTTGCAGCAACTGTCATCCAGTGTTATGCTGGAAAAACATGGTTGCAAAACCGAAAACGGCAATATCCCACCAAAGGTGCAGCCGGGAGCATGTTCAAATGAAGTGCGCAACCACGCCCTCTCCATTTCCGCGATATGAGTATACATATTTCATACGACAAGAAACAGGTCACTTACGTCAGGAATAGTCAATCGATACTTTCCATTTCCAAGATCTTCAGTCTTTGCATTCTTCAGCTCGTCACCGTTCTTATACCATTTCACAACCTTCGGTTGACCTTCGACTTTCAACTTCAAGCACAAGTGATTGTCCCTGAAAGGTGGATACTATTAGGGGTTGAAGGAGGGACACCAGAATTACTACGAACCTTTGGCACCGCCTTGTCATTAAGTCCTTTCTTGAACGACGGTAACGTAACCTGCATTAGTAATGAGTAAGTGTAATCGAAGCTCTACACTAAGACGGCCCAAAAAGAAACGGAAAATGAGTTCATACCTTCTCCTTGACGGTGACGGTACAGCTTGATTCTACCGACTCGCTTTCTGTCGACAAAACGACCCGATAGGCACCAGCGTCAGACATCTCACAATTCTCCACTTCGAGTTTATACACATGATCAGAAACTTTCTCGATTTTCGTGGTCCTGAAACAAGCCCTCATTAAAGGGGTTATCTATAAAAGTAAAAGTCCGCAAGTACCTAGTCGTGGTGACTTGTTCCGATCCCTTGTACCATTTCACCGTCTTCGGTCGGCCTTCGACCTCAACAGAAAGCAAGATCTTGGTGCCTTTGTCGACCGTGAGATCTTCCAATGGCCGCTTGATTTTCAGCGTCTCTGGTGCTGAAAAATTGATTTTAATGGTATATTCCACAATAGCTGGATGGGTGGAGATTCGTGACACATGTGTGGCACAGTTCCGCTACATGTTAGCAATTCGGAGAGACGACATGTCATGCAACATTTTAATGACAAGGAAACATGCGTAGATTGTAGCCACTGACGTCATCAACGCACTACGTGACGTCAGCGACACGTCATCTATCTCTTCACGGGTAACAAACTGGACCGAGTAGCTGTGCTATATCTGCGCCCTCAAAGCCATTACGCCATCTTGATTGGTGCGCTCCTCCTTCTAATGGGGTAGATAAGAGGAGTGGACCATTCAGAGAGGCTCAATGGTTATGAGTCTCCGCCCACCCGCTAGACGCGGAATTTGTCCATTTCTGCTGGATGTGATTAGAATAAGGAC